CTTCAATAAAATAAAATAATTCATTTTCCAATAATTGAAATAAAAAAATTCCTTCTTTTTAAATTAATAAAAAAAAATTTACACTTTTCATGAAGCATTCCTCTAGTTTATTTAAATAAAATATTACTATTTTATTTATTTAGTTTTCTTAGTCGAAACTAATTAACTTGCAACAAAGTTTTCCTTAGTCGAAACTAATTAACTTATAATTAACTTATTATTATTATTATTATTATTATTATTATTATTATTATTATTATTATTATTGCTTAGTAAAAACGAATGTTGCACGTAAAAAAACAAATTTTCTATATATATAAAAATTTCCAACAATCCATGAGTGCTAAAGAGTAAACTTTTTTTTTCTTTAAGTAAAGGCAAAATAAAATATATTATTACGTTCTCCGAGATATGTTTTATCTGCACGCTAAAAAAAAATTTATGTGGAACAAAAGTATAGTACAATTTTTCATGCAAAGGTGTCAATTTTCCTCCGCTGATCACTATGTAAGACTCTCCGATTTATTCGCAAATCGTCAATTAACTTTCATGCGGACATTGATGACTTGGTGGATGATCTGTTTGGGTGTATTACACTTTTTATACTTTACACTTTACATTTTGCGTTTTACACTTTACACCTTTACATTTTTATAAATTATATTAGTTAATAATTATCCTTATATATATTATTTTTTTTTGTCACAGTATATTATAGATTTATTCAAATAATTTTTTAGCTATATTGAAGAGGAAGCATTATACCTTTTTGTAAGAATTACTTTTCTTAACGATAAAACAATATTATAACGTTTCTTTTTCGAACAGGTACTTTAATTATTGTAAAAATACAAGTTATCTTTATTGATATAATAATATAAACAATAATAATAAACTCTTATCAATAATATGTGCCACATCTCCAGATGTAATATTAATATTTAAGTGATGTACTACGCAAAATGTTGTACATATATATATATACGAAGTAAATTGTTACACTTTTATACATGTTGTTTTATGAAATATATGGTATATGATGTTATTATTATTATTTTATAGATATTACTGAACAAGAAGAAAAGACACTAAAAAAAAATTATAAAGCTAATTCAATAAAAATTAAATAATAATGTTTCAATAAAGACTTTTAGAACTGTTGTATGTGAAATTGAAATTATGTGAATTGCGAATTCACATAATTTCATTCTCATGTACTACAGTGTAAAAGATTTAATCTTTTGCATTCAGTCACAACATCTTTATCCATCTTCAGGCAATCAAAATCAAATGAAAGGATATCCAACTGGTCACAAGAAGGAGCTCTGTCCATCTCCACATATAACTAACCTGGGGCAAACATATTTTCATCAATCGTTAGATATTGTTTTTAAAAAAATAGATTCTGTTTGTTAATTATAAATAAAATAATAATAATATTCAAATAACTTTGGTTGCGCAGTTACGGGACACTACGTAAGCAATTTAAAAATGTTTTTCGGATTTTTGATGTATTTATTTGTTCTAAAAAGTAACAATTTTGGTTGTGCAGCTATGTAAACAATTGAAAAAAACTAGTTTTATTTTATTAATAACTAGTTATTTAATAATTCTCCAGATAGACAAGAATTTAAATAGGAAAAATAATAATAATAAGCAAAAGTTACACTCCATAATATTTCAATTTCCCATACAACAACACTAAAACAGTCTAAAAAATATTATTAATAATTAACGAATGAATGGAATGAATTCATTGATTTTAAAAAAAAAAAAAATAATGTAACACATGCTCACTGTGCATCCGAAATTGAGTATAGGGACATTCAGTATGGTATAACTCTTGCAAAATGTATGTTATGGTATTGTATAAGTGTTGTATACCAATGCTTAAATCTTACATACTTCCCTTCACACCCACCAAAAAAAGGATTTAGAATAAAATTTTGTGTGGCTTGGTATGGAAAAATATGGGCTATACCATACGTTCTGCAAGAGTTATACCATACTGAATCTCTCCCTACCGTCCGAAATTTTAATCTTGTTTCTCGCTTTTTACTTTCGTGAAACAGCAAATTCTTGTCAATTTCCGTTACACCAACTTAATTCATTGTATCTTATTGTATTGTTTAAAAAAAAAAAGCCAAACAAAAATTCATTGAAACAAAAATTCGCCGAAGCGAAGTTCGTTGAAATTAGGGTAGGACCCAGAGCAATACATATAGAGGCAACAATTAAATTCAAAAATTTTACCAATACTAAATGAATAAACAAACTTTTAAACATGACCTCAAAAATTTACCGACGAATAAGCAAACCAAAAGTGATACTTATTATGCAATCTTGATAATCATCAGTTATTGGATTATTCAATAATATTATTCTGAAAATATTCATTACAACAATTAAAAATTTTGATCTGGAACTATGATAAATTACATTAGGTAGTTAAAATATTACATTTCCTTAACTAAATCATTAAAAATATCGACATGAATAAGAATGTGCACATGTGAGGAAGTATAGCTTGCCATATTTCACAATTGAGTATTGACATGTATTTGTTTTGTGATTAAAGCATCATCATCATTTCATACTTGGAGTAAGTCATCATCGTCCCTATTATCGTATACAACAGAATCAAATTCTTCTGAACTTTCTGTAAAAATTGAAAATTGTTCTTTGCGTCTTTTTTGCTTTACATCCAGCACTCTTTGCATGATGATTTAAGTAATCTTCACCCAGAACCTGTTAAGCTAATTGTTTACCATAAATGTAAAAACCTTCTTAGTATGAATAATATAGGCACAATATGGATGTTAAAAGTCACTATTTACAATATTCCATTATGGCCTCAATTATGATAATTCGGGGTCCTGTGTTAATTAACGGGATATATTCTTTTTGGTTAGCGTGTACCAAACATCAACCAAATATATATTGCACAATAAAAGAAATATGTACATGTATAATAACGATGGATTATTATTGTACATTTAATATAGCTCAATATAAAGTTCATTTAAAATTCATTATTTGTGCTAAAATGAAAGGAATATAAATATAACCCTTTTCCTTGTTCTTTGAAAAAAATAATCAAGAAACAAAAATGCTAAGTCACATATATAGAAAACCGCAAGGAACCGAACCAAAATCGATTCTAATTTTTCGACGCTTGTTTATTATCATATCATTATTATTTTTAATCTCTTCCCTTATAATATTGTGTTTTAGGGTGTTCACTGAACAGCCTAATGTTAATATCTCTATTTTACCATTGACTAATCCACCCGCACCAGGTAAAAATAGTTTTTTTGAGTCGAAAATATAACCAAAATCAATAATATGTTTTCTAATATCAAACCCGCGAACCAATGCAGCCGTCCATTTAGCTTTTAGTCAAGATTTTACCATTTCGTGTTCATTACTTTACGATTACGATGGAAGTAAGAGAAATTTTGATTATATCTTATAATTTTGCTTTATTATTGGCTCACATTATGTATACATATTTGGCACAAAAGTAAATTCGACCAGTTGCGATCAATATGTTACACAACCAAAAAATATCGATTTCCAAGATTTCCCTTTTGTTGGATCCTTTTCACCAAAAGGAAAGATAAATCTGACCAGATATGATGATACAGGTCCATATTTTGTTCAACTCTATGTAAATATCAAGGATCCAAAATTTAATAACGACACCCAAGAACTTAGGATGACTGCATATGATGCAGGCAAGTTTTTTTATAAAATTGATGGCAGATCTTGTTTATATTTTACTGATTTGATAACAATATGACATAAATAAATAGAAAATGAATATGTATATGATACTCAGCATAAATATTTTGATCCTTCGCTGCCTCCATATGAAGAGTCACTTTTCTATATGAACAAGTATACTTTAACGGGAAATCATGTAAGTGTACTTGAGAAAGATGACGAATTTTCAAATTGACAATAGTTGAAAAATTTATCAAAAAATCAATAGTTGTTTAAACTAGGATACTCTAGAAAAACCAGAAAGATGTTGATTACGACGCCTTTGAATTACGTGGGCATTCCGCCTCAAAATTACTTTACACAAAATTATATTGAATCAACTATACGTAAGAATATTTGTTTAAAAGTTTTATATCATCACGTACACATTTTTAACCTGATGTTAATAATCACAGAGGATATCCCGGCGCAGCCTTCTAATACAGCTTTCCTGACTGTACGTATTAGTCCACATAACTTTATTACAGAAGAGGAACAAGAGCAAAGGTAAAAACCATCCATCAAATAAAATTAATTTGATCATCTTGCTAATATTTTATTAACATAGCTTTACAAATAATGATTATATAATAGGCACAGTACCGTAAGTAAAATATTATTATTTTTTGAGAACCTATTATACAACGTAGTGATCATCGCCCATTATTATTATTTGGATAAATAGTTGATAACCGCATTAGGAACCATAGCCGCATACTACAGTTCTATTGTGTTCATTTATGTCTTTTTATTTGGTAATTTGACTTTTTTTTTAGCCAAATCAATGTGTATCATAATTTATTCACTCATTTCAAAATTTTAGGGGTTGAGTCCATGAAGCCATGGGGGTTTGTACATAATGGATGCTGTGGATTCAGAAAGGAGACCAAAGATAGCCTCATACCAATTTTGGAGTTTGGCTCAAAAAACCAACTCAAGAGTTCTAAGAATTCTACAGTGCCTGAGACTCATAGAGCACTCAGGAGTTCTATAGCAACTGAGATGCTTTCAGAAAGAATTAGAGAATTGGAAAGTTTTAGAATATTTCTTGAAGATTTTGTTGTTGACACTTCATTATTAGAATCCGTTAAAAAGGAGCAAAAAAAGCGTCAACAAAGGGAAGTGTAGACGTTGACCGTTGACGACCAGCAGATTTTTTGGGATGTTACATCTTTTACGTTTGGGAATCCGAGTGGTTTCCGGAATTAAAACTCTAGATATAATATCTCACTATTTTGCTTAAGACTATTTAATTTATTTACTTGTACTATTTAATTATTGGATTATTTATTTAATTATTTACTTGGACTATTTAATTTATTTACTTGGACTATATTATTTGCTTAGATTATTTGTTTAGACTATTTAATTTATTAGACTATTTAATTATTTATTGTATTACTAGATTAACTAACTAATTAATATTAAAAAATTTTATTAAACAATCATTAGATTACTATAGCTTTGAGAACATGGTTTTTGTTCACAAGCATTATATGTATGTTTGTATTTAACGCACTATCAGAACAATAATATCTTTTTAATGTGATGCTTTATAAAATATTCGATTGAAACGAGTGAATGAGAAAACATTGCATTCCCAGAAAAGTAGCTCCAATGTTTTAATGTATGTTAATAAAATAAAATAAAGTTCTAGGGGATTTAATTCGAGATCTGACAGTTAATTTAAAGAATTTAATTAATGCTGATCTGGGCAAAATTTTTAAATTAATAATAATAGTAATCGATTCTTTATTATCATTATTATTATGTAATATTAAATTAAAATCAAAAGGTTCCGTATTCCGTACACCTGCGCCTCCATACTAGTACAAAAAGTAAAGGATAGTGTATATATTCTGAAAAAAATATGCTTTCAAAAATTTATTATTTATCAAGTAATTAAGCAATTTATTTTTCAAATACTAAACCAAATCTAATCTTATAATAAATTAAGTTTTTATATATAATTAATAAACTGAATAAAACGAATAATCAATAAATAAAACAGATAAAGCAAATAAATAAGTCTGATATGCATTACGAAATAGAATCCCCTACAAAGACGTCAGATCCTTGATATTTTAATTAATTAATACACAATCATGAATAGTAACCAGTTTCTTGATATTTTAATTAACTAATATTAAGGTGGTACATAATCACTCTCGTTATAATAATAAACGTGTAGCAAATGACGGACGATACTAATACGTTTTTTTGAGAATTTCATGCCGCGGAGTTATTCGCCGGGTTTAACTATGTCTTCGACATGCCACGAATAGGACAAAAAAAGCAAAATGAGTCAAATAATGATGCATATGGCTTAAGGCGAGTCACTTCTTTATAGTTAGTCAAAAATTTCACTTTTGTTTTATCATTAATTATACAAACTCGCTTTTATATCTCATTATTATTATACATTTGAAATGATCCCGAATGTTATCAATCAATTCATTTTATATCATGTCAACATCAATGATGAATTTTGGCATTTGACATTAATAATTAATATTAGTCATTCATTATTAATCATTCTATTTATTGGACAAAATCATGTAAAAAGTCATGTTTCTAATACTTCAAGAAGTATAAATATATTTGAAATTTCCTTCAAATATACATTAGATAATAATAACTATAATTAATTAATAAAGCTAGTGTGGTTGATTCATAATCCTCTCTGGTGATTAATGGTTTGGCCAACCTTTTGATTTTACTATATTGCTTGTATTGATGCTCAAGTAGTATATTTCTATTTTTTTTTTAGAGCATACGAATCTGGAAAGAAATCTGAGACACTTGGTTAGAACTCGCCTACAATAATAGTACTGGAAAGAAAACCTTGCCCTTGACCAGAACTAGGGTTTCTATTCGAATACAATGAATAATTCAAATAAAATAATTCGAAATAAAATAAATAATTCAAACAAAATAAAAATGAATAATTCGAAATAAAACGAATAATTCTAAATAAAACGAATGGTTTGAAATAAAATAAAAAAGAATGGTTTGAAATAAAATGAATGATTCGAAATAAAACTAATGATTCGAAATATTATTGTAAGATATGCACCCCACCAATTATTTTTGTTGATATAACAAAAAATTGAACAAGGAAATAGATTTTTTCCACAATAATAAAATTTCAATCACAAAAAGTCTAGGAGAAATACAACTCGAGAAAAACAATGATGCTTTAATAAGTGATTCAGAAAATAATGGTAAAAATTATTTAATAGAAATAAAATTAGATTCTTATAAATTATTCTAAATGGTTTTTTTTTAAGTTCTAAAAAATAAAGAAATATATTCTTTCAAATTCGAAATTAATTACCCGCCCCTTCGATAATGCTTCGCGGAGTACACAGTGCTCTAGATCTTAGGAGATATGACTGCTAGTTGTGTATTTTTAATTATATCATCATTACCACTCGTCCATCCTTGAGTTAATAATTGTGGATCACATGATTGACACCATGAATACCAAGTATTATATCTATTACAAGTTGGACATCTACCATATTTTCTTTTTCTTTCATATTTATAATCATCATCATTTTCATTTGACGTTTTTTTTATCTTGAATATTTTCTTGACACTATTCATTTTTGTTTTTTTTAAACAAAGGTTTTTAGTAAATCACGAGTTGTATGAATTTTCTAATTTATTACATGATTATTTTCGTATAAAGACGATCTTGATATTTTACCCCTAGATTGCTCTATAGTATATCAGTGATGATAATAATTATTTTATATAATTCGGCCATATCTCATTTGATAGAAACTCTAAACATATTGTGCAAATTCCTCATTGTGCTCTTTACTTCTGAAACATAATTCATATTATTTATTAATCTTGATTCTTTTTGTTTTTTTTTTGTTTTTCAATTTGTCTAGTCATTTAGCTAAGTTTACCCTTTTCTTCATCCACATTATTATTGATCATGTGTAATATTTTATTTTTATCAATTCAAACAATGATTTTCTATTTTCTCTAAAAAATGATTTGATTCTAATAGATTTTGCTTTGGTAATTTACATGTATATTGATTGTAACAATTTGTGCACTAAATTTCATGTGTAATGTTCAATTAATATTAATATTATCGAACTAATACATCTGTGGATCCGTTTATTAATTATTGTAAACTGCCACCTTTGCTGTTAAATATCACTAGCAATAATCATCAGAATAGTCATAACCATAACATCAGTAGTAGTAATAGTAGTAACAATAAGAATAACAACAGTAGTAATAATAGTAGTAGTATCATTTCTATCTAAAAGAATAGGTAAAAATATTAGATTGCAAGATGTCAAAGTTTATTGGCAAGAGAGTTTTCAAGGGAGGGTGATGACAATGACGATATGAACAAGGAATAAAGATTCAAAGGAATTCAAAAATTTAAAGTCATTTTTAGGGGAAGATGATAATGATGATGATGATGATGATAATGGTGGTGATGGATGATGATGGTAATGGTGTTGGTGATAATAATAATATAAAAACAAGATTAAAAAAAATCATTAAGGGCAATGGTAATCATTGTCATTGTCATCCTCGTAGTTTGTTTTCTTTACCTAAATTGTCATCATCACCATCTAGTAGTAAAAAATATGATAACAAACCAAGATTCTTGTGCATGAAATATTAATATTGTATGATCAGCGCACAGTTCACACACAATAAAAACTTTTGTAATTGAAATTCATTTTTCTACCTTCCCCTTTTTTTTTTTTTTTTTGAAAACATGTATGGCAATGCTGTAATCATAATAATAAATAAAACCAGTGTCATCAGGAAAAAAAAGATCAAATCTTGTTGTTCTGGTTAAAATGCTCACTTGCTCAATTTGTGTGGTTCAATGTACATTGATGTCTGTATGTACAATATAATAAAACCCAAAATATATTTACAACAAATAAACATGATTTTATATGTGAAATTGATCTTTTGGGTAGGATCTATTGATATGAAATAAATTACAGGACAGAATAAATGCAATATCGACTGGTTCAGAATGTTAATAAAGCATGAATCAAATAGATTTATTATTAATATTAATCAATTTTTTAAGAGGAGTATTAGAATGATGATACTTAGATCTGTGTGTAGGTAGAATTTTCTTGCTAGATTTCCTTCATAAACAAAAAAAAAAAAAAAACCTTTAATTCAGAAAAAGAAGTTAAACAAATTCTTAGAGAATTTGAGATAAGTGAAGAAATATATCTTTTATTGATATATACTAGTATGCGACAGTAGAGGGGAATGGAAAAGCTAACTTACAATTCAAAGAATTGTGTGATATCAAAAAAGGTGATCTTTATGAAATCCTAAATTCTTCTTCCATATCATATAAAACATCATAAAAATCTATTATAAGAGGATTAGATATTGATGCAAATATACAAAAATCAGATGGCATTCCATGAAAAAGACATTTTGTACTAATACTAATAGTATATTGTTGAGGTTGAATAGGAATTTTGTTGTTATCACCAATGGTTTTGAATTCAAAATATAAGAAAAGAAAATTGTCTTCTGTCAATTCACTTACTTTACATTAAATTACATAATAATATGACATACCATAACAGGCTCTAATTCCCCTGTTGGTGTTCTATTGTCTGTACAGAAATGCCATACCTGTCAAAAATAAAAAAAAAATCATAAAATGATGATGGTAAGAAACTAAAGAAAAAATTACATCTTCCTATTATTACTTACTTTCATTCTTGAAATAATTGTACCAGTTTTCACTAACTTTACCACAATTGCATCATGAGCTCTGCCTGGACAGAGCCAATAATTTTTTACTGCATTTAATAAATGTTTTTCAGTTTCTGAAGAGGCAATTTCTATCACAAGATTGGGCCATGGTTTATACTAACAATGTAATCACCAATATTAAAAATTTTGATTAATGCATTTTAGAACTCTCTTTAAATACAGAATCTGGACCCTCATGTCCATTTGAATTTACTCTAAGTTTTCCCCATGGTATATAAGATCCATCTGCTTCTTTTCCTGTACCACCAGCATTTGTTTCTTTTGTATATTCAATAATCTGAAGCATGTTCAAATTATGTGAATGGTTAACAACCTCACCCCAAAAAAAAGGTTAAATACTTATGAACAGACTCTAAACTAATGAGCATTCTTTCTGGATCTGCCAAACGAATTTGGCTTTTAATCATTCCAGAACAAGTTTCATGAGGTCCTAAAGGCAATTTGTAGACATAAACTTTCCTATCTATCCACTCCCAATTTCCATGTACATTGAACATATCAGTTCGTTCTGAATATTTCTCCCAATCAACATCACTTTTCAGAATATAGGGTAACCTTAACATTATGCATCCAATGAATGTGATGTTATTAGTATTGATTGGCTTGTACTAACAAATACAACAGGACAAAAAAAAAATACTTACAAAGCTTCTTCCCAATTTGCACTTGGATGCATATTACAGTGGATCCATTATTATTAGAGAGTGTGAGTGGACTCTATAATAAAAATTCTTAGAGGTAAAGGTTTAATGAATTCAAAAATCATGGATTATCAATTAAATTTATTGTTAAAAACATTATACATGTGAAATTAATATTAATATTATTTTTTTTTACTTTAATTATCCATATTAGCATTCTTAACTACTTGTTTTTTATGATTTTGATTAAATCTAAATATCCATTATTTGATTTGTATCATCTATTGACAATGATATCTATTGGTTCAAAATTAGTCAAGGGTTTAATAATGATTTATAAAAGTTTTATTGTTACTGTGTAATGGACATTTGTAGATTTTTATTTTTGAAAATTTTATATAATAAATTGATCAACATTTCTCTGATTTATAGACAGATCATCAATTAATTTGTTAGACTATTTCAAAGGTTTGTCTGCATGGTTACTTCCAATTTCTTAAATTCAAACCATTTGTTAACAAAACAACTGTTGGTGAAGTGATTGTTGACAAAATGAATCAAATCAACATTTATCTATTTTTACATTATCAAATTCACAATTGGTCAATCAACAATTGCATGGGTTAAAATTTTGTTACCTGTTCTTATTCCTTCACTCAAACAAATAATTGTTTTTTATGTGTCAATGATTAGTAAACGTTCTGGTCTTGGGGTAATTCTTGCTCATTATATGTGAAATTGAAATGTTATGGAGCAGGGTGAAATTCTGATTGGCTAATTTGAATTTCACATATGTAAATTTGAATTTCACATATTAATATGCGAATTGCGAATTCACGTAATTTTATTCTCACGTACAATATATGTATAATGATCTTTAATCAGAATCAAATTTATTTGTTAATTAAATTATATTATGAATAAATAAAAATTATATTAAATGATTGAAATTAATCTATAATAAGTTTTATAAATAAAAAAAATTCGTTATCTTTTTGGTGATGGATCAGGTACATTACCATCTAAAATAAAAAAAATGAAAGAATTAGAAAGCTAATTGATATTTATTATATACACTATACATATTTTTATAAAGATATGGATATATTTACCTTCAAATCCAATACCACATTTAATAGCAAACCAAACTCTAGCTTCGTACAAAGGAACCTGATCCCCAGCAAGAATTTGTTTAGCCAAATCGCTACTATTGATAAAATTGTCAATAGTGTTATAAATTGCCTTGTTACATGTAGTGCAGATGGCTGTTGGATCAGCAACTGTAATGGAATCAAGAAAGTCACCGCCATCAAGTTTGAACGGAGATTGAGGTAAGTTGATTGAAGTGGTGATGTCATCTTCAAATAAGCAAAAGTGGCTTGGGTTTCCAGCGTCTTTAAAACATATTGTATCCCTCCCAGGAGAATAGAAAACGACAGCAGGAAATATCATTTCCATTAGTGGGTTTTTCATATCATCTGGATTACATCCGGTTTGAATTGTCTTAATAGCATCTGCAACACCTTTATCGGAACATTTTGGTGCTGCACAGAATCCATTAGAGAATTCTATCAAGTTAGGTTGAAGTTTTTGAAGTCCAGTCTTTGGATCGGAAATAAGTGATGCAATTGCACTAGGATCGGTTAAAAATGGTAAAATTGGTACAAATGCAGGAATTGGAATGCATTGTAGAAATTCTGGAGAGGTAACAATAGTAAGTAATGCTGATTGACATGATGTCGATAATTCTCCTATTAAAGCTATTGGGTCCTGACCCTGAGCAAGTTTAGCAAACCTAGCGATTTCATCTGGAGTGATATCAGATATTGTCGCTTTTTTTTGTGGCGCTGAAAATCCTAAACCCGTTATAGCAAGAAAGAGTAAAATGACGACAACAAAATTATTTTTCATTATTTTTATTATTATTATTTTTTTGTATACAGACTTGAGAAAGAGAATAAGCTGCTTCCTTTAAATACTTTATCAAATTCATTAATAATTAAAAAATTGAATTCGGACTTGTTTACATTTTAGATCAAGATCAGACTTTTTTCATTCAGTAATGATTCGGTCAATTCAATTAATTAATTTCCGAGAGATCGATCTCTCATTTAATTAATGACGTTTTTTATTAAAAAGAAAGTTTGTCAAATTAACGACGGGCGAGTTCCTTAAATTCGGGGGTTAATTAATATTAATGATTGAGAGGGCTTTGGTTTGAACAAAATAATCAACAATATGAGGCTCGTTTTTCATTGTTGTATTTTTTAATACCAATAAAAAAAAAATAAAAAAGATTTTCGGTGAACTCTAGTCACAAATTTAATTTGTATAAAAAAATAGTATTATACTTTAGTACTATATATATAATAATAAAATAACTTTTTTTATTTTACATTGTGAAGCAAATGTCAATGAACATACATAAATGTATTTTTCTTTAAGAATATTGGAAAAAAGTTTTTTTTACTCTTGGGGATGTAATAGAATCGAATGAAAATTTTCATATATAAAAAAAATTTTGCATGTTCGTGTAACTTGTTATCTATTACTATGTACTATGTATATATATATAACGATTATACTTGTCGTCGGAATTCCATAATTACGGCAAATTCGGCATTACTATTACGTATAAGCCGTAAATGATTTTCGGCATGAGACCTCAAAGTCATAAAAGTCGTAAACCGTAAAACCGTAAAAC